GTAAACTTCTGTTACATGTTTGTGAAACCCTAATATTTTGTCGATTCTTTGCGACGATGGAAAAAAAAGCAAATGAAGCTGTAGTAAAATGCACATTTTTTCCAACCTTGTATTCACTCTCTCTTACCATCCTTTAGCTGTTTAATCGATGAGCGATAGAAAAAGCAGAACAATCATAATATTTGTATGAGAAGAATAGGTATCTCAATAATATGTGACCATGAGTTATTTAACGTACATGGATGAATGCACACAAGCCAAACTTACTTAATGATATATATATGAACAATGTAATTCGTTTATTTCTTACATATAACAACGTCAATACATTACAGTGTTATTTTGGTTGTGAACACACAAGATTTAGCAAGAATACAGCGAGTAAACGTAAGTCTTTTGCAATTGAATTCACTTCAGAAGGACTTTTTCATCATCAGTATCCAGCGAATTTTTCTATTTTTAAGTAATATCACTAAGCTTGTATAGTATTATTTTCGTGTCATAGTGATTGTTTTGTTGGCAACGAAAATGTTTCGAAATTATTTATGAAATGAATAGTAGATATTAATTACTATAAAGTCTCTCTTCGCACAAAACGTCAGTAACAAGAATTGTCAGTAGATTTTGTGAGTTTCATCGTAGAAAAAAAACCATTCATCATTGTATTGTTTACCATTCGAAAAAATTTTACTTCACTGAAAATGAGATATGATACTGTAGAGAAAACAAGTGCTTTATAGGAAACTTTTGTGGAAGGTTCTCTTCAACTAGGTTTTTGGCGAAGAATATACTTAGGATAATGTCTTCAGAGTGAATAGTTTTAATTGCATAACAACTGTTTTCATGATGTTGACAAAACTCTAGCCAGTAGATGTTGTAAAAATTGTACACTTTCGAAAATGCCTCTCTGGTTAAGATTGTTCAGAAAATTTTCTAGTCACAGTGAAGAAGTGGGATAATGGCGTCCTTTGATGCTTGTGTTACTCAAAACTCTATGAAGGAAATAAAAATCATAAAAGATTCTTCAGGAAAAGAAGATGGACATGCAGATCTTGAGAAAGAGTGATATCGTTAAAATGCTTCTAACTTTGAAATTTTGATTTAAATATTTTACTCATGGCGAATGATCATAATTCTAAAGCAGTTTACTTTTCCTATGATTCGATAGCATACTTGTAGTGGTAGAAAATAACAATGCCACGAAATAAATGACTGTCTAGTTTTTTGCTTGTTATCTCTTTGAATTTTGATAGTGTTGAACGAAATTTTCTCAACAAAGCGAGCATTGGATACTCTTTAGAACCCTAGAAAAGTACTAGTTATAGACAGAAAAGTCATGCAACTGCCATAAGAATGCTGAAAAACATGACATGTCAACAGTTTTCATGCACTGATAGAGTTCATTTGTATTTGTATGATCTTGTTTCAAATCATAGAGATAAATTAAACAAATTTTTTTATGGAACTTTGAAAGTTGTACTCTATGAGTGTGCATAAGAACATTTCGATGAAAACCCTATAGAGTTAAACAAATGTTAATTTTCCGAGATTTTCGAGAATATTTCTGTTTTTCACTGTATTTTTCCAGTTTTTGGAAAAATACGGGCAACTTGTTGTAGTATTTTTTCCTGGAGAAAAGTTTTAATTTTGTGCAAATGCTACTAAATGATAGTATGCAAGGCTATCCAAATTGTGAAGTAGTGCTACTTCGAATAGTTTGCGTGCAGAATAACTTAGTAAGATAAAGTATGGAAGAAAAGAGCTAGTTCTATGAAAAATAAATGTTCTACATAGAATCTTTTACATGCTACTTCAGTATTATCAAGAAACACTAGTCAGTATCAATGAGGACACTTTGAAAGTTATTATTAATAGACTCTCCTAGTACTAGTACAGTAAATTTTTTCTTTTATATCTGTGTTCATAATCTCTGTAGAGCATTATAGAGAAGTCAATGGTGAATGTTTTCGGGAAAAAGATCCGTTTCGAAACAATAAAAGCTGACAGAGATATGTGTGAGTATCATATATGAGTCATAAAGAGTTCTAGCATAAGATTTTATATAAATGAACAGAATGAAGAAAAGTAGATTGTGTCTCGAATTTGAACCACACATCTTCTGTGGTTCGAGCAGATATTCTAAGCTAATTAGATCAGCAGGAACATTTTAGTTTTCGTTTAGTGTCAGAGTATACCATCGGCAACCCAAACAATATGGAGGAAATTACAAGGACTCATTTATTCTGAATCATCTATTAATTTGAGAATGTGTGCGAAAAAACAAATAGCCAGAAGAATCTTTCAGCCGAGCACTTTTCTTAATGCGGCTTAACTTCTAGGATTGTCCTATGCATTATTCAATCATAATGAATAATTACAAGTATTCAGTAATTTTATTTTTCTATCAGTTGAAAGCAGTCTACTCATTCTAGGAATCAATATGAGAACATGATGAAAAGAATACGACTCGGTAGAACATCACATGAAACACTCATTTCAATACTTCTAAAGTTCTTATTGTTCACAGAGTTTGTCTGTTATTCACAACCACTTCTATGTTCGCTAGGTCAGTTTCTTTGTTAATCGAAAGCTTTCTGGGAATAGTAGAAGAAAACTTGAATATATATATGTTGAAGTAGAACATGATGGTTAATTTAAGAAAGAAAAACAGCCTATTCCCAATTATTCAATGGTACTGTTATCAACCTTAGTAACAGAATCTTTAAAATAAAAAAACCGCTCCTATCTATTGCTATATCTATCAGAGAGGAGTAGATCATTGATGAGTATTGAACTTACCATGTTTCATGTGATAGAAATCAAAGTGGCAATGCAATACAACTGCTATGGTCTCAATGTTGCTTTTGGAGTCAATACTAGTATCACTAGTTTAGAACCTCTTTTAGTGAGAATTCTATGATTTGATGATACGTCGTCGCTACTGGGAAAGATTACCAGGTGGAAACGTGTAGCATGTTCAGATATTGCTTTTACCGTAACATGCTATAATATACTCGTTTTATAAGAGTTCTACTTGAGGTCAGAGATAAAAACGAAACCGGTGCAGATTTCAGATCGGCTGGTCTGTTGGTAGCCTGATATTTACGAGTCGAAAGAACATTAACCAGTCAGACCAGACTTTCCTGGAGAGATTGGTGTTTACTGCTATCGATCATCAAAACAGCAAACTGGTTGCATTTCTAATTTATGTCATCAATTTTAAATTAAGCAGTCAACATAGAAAAATACATTGATTATTAAACTAGAAAAAGGCAATATTCTTAGAATAATATATGTTCGACTGAGGTCAAGTCCACTCATTCAACAACAATTAATCTCAGAAATGAATCGAAGAACCTTCATCATTAAATAGTTTTCTTCGATAATGAAATCATAGTATTTGTTGAGATTAAAATATGAAAAGAGATAAAGAACGAAGTGATGAAATCTAATCGAATGTATCATTATTTTATTTTAGTGTATGTGGTATGTGCAGTCGTACGTTCTTGTTTGACCCACCCATACACTCACACTGTCCATTGCCAGGTTCAGTATTTTTAGTCCTATTTCCCAGAAAGTTATGTGCACAATTTAAGATTTTTTGTCTACCTGCTGATAAGTATGTTATTTTTGAGATGGACTAAAATAATCGTTTGGGTGTTGTGAAAATTCACTTGATGTAAAGTTTCAGCATTAAAAACGTCCTCTTAAGACACATGGAATTTTGACAATTATGCCAGTATGATTCACTTTTACATACATAAGTACATAATATAGGCAGAGTATACGGGCGAAAAGATTGGAACATGAAGACATTGGAAGGAAAGAGAAATTGTCATTCTGCTTCTGTATATTGATTTTGTTCTATCTTTTCATTTTTGATTTTCCTTTTATGTTGTGTCCATATAATATACATATGTATGTAGCAGTGAATCATACTAGCATAATTGTTCTATTTTTTCATGTTTTAAGAAGACGGTTTCAAAGTTGAAATGTTATACTATAATCCGAAGATCCATAACACTAGGTTAACATGTCTGTCTTGGTCTGTGAGGGAGGATGAGGAGTTCACTTTTCTGACTATATACTTCTGCATTCTCTCTTCAATCTTTGTCTGCTTTTCATGATAAATATCAAGTGAGATGACATTTTATATGAACAATAGAGCGATGCAATTATTTGTTGTTAATCAATAAGGAATTTTCTTTCATTCGCGCCTTTATTTCAATAGACAGGAAACAGTCCATTATGTTTTGGTAATTTGAATCTTCTTTGCAGGACTAATCATAAAATGTACTCCACTAACAGAGTTTTTATTGTTTCTTTTATGAGAAAATGAAAGACTTCCATTTTGTAGATGCAAACAAAATTCCTCAGTGGTTGAGAATCTGAATCGTTCTGTTTACATATACATCGCAGATATAATGTGTTGTCGACTCGAATCTAAGTTCTAGTGCCAGTCAAATTTTACATGATCTGAAAAACCCGTTCATTCTTATCTTCTAGTTTTGTGGGACTCTGAATAAAAATAGTAAGCATAAGTTGCAAAGTGAGGATGGGGTCTCTCCTACAGACAGTGGTGATTACAAATGGATTTTCTAACTAGATATTTTTTTGTGCGTTGTCTAATTAGATAGAAAGAAGAATTACTTGTGAAAAAAAATACACGATTTTCTTTGGTATATGGATTAGTTGATCTGTATGGTTTTAAATTTTCTCTCGTTTCTATTCTTATCTTAGTTTGTTGATGCAGTATTCTAGTGTTATAGTTCTACATTTGAAGCTTTGTTTTCTTTCTAATGTGTCCTACTTTTAGATTACATTGTTTAGAATAAAGATATCTATTATCAATACATGACAAAAAAGGACATAGCTTCTAATTTAGTCAAGAAATTTTTATTCTATGTAAACAAAAAAAACAATATTTAATTATTTGATACATTATCATTATTGCTTTTTTTGTCTGGTAATTTGATTTTTATTCTTGTTTTCAAAACAAAATGCGTTTGCATCCAATTCTTTTAATAAAAACATTGATACTTCTAATTTTATTTATTGCCATTTTTGATAAAATCTATTTACAAACTTGGCATTCGAAAATTAAAATTATTCTGATAGAACGAAAACTTTCAACAGTATTAACATCAAATGATGAATTCAATCAAATATCATACACTTTAGAACCATTTACAGCAAAGTTACCACATTTTTCTGATGATGAAGCACGTAATTGGTTTTTGAATTCAACGTACTATAAACTGTATTCAAAACAATGTCCAAATAATGCATGTGAAACAAATGGATTTCTTTTTAATGGTTTACAAGAACATCGTCAAGTTCATATTGCTTTTATCAAAAATGGTCTCTATTTAAATGATAAATGTGGTTATAGATATAGCGAAGACGCTATGCGACGTACATTTAAATCAAGTAATCAACCATCTGTTATTTATGATAAAGCTATTATATATACTGTAGCACATGGATGGCGTTTTCAACATTTTCTTGATGGAATTGGACCAAAATTATCTCATTCAAAAATCTATTTAGATAAATATCCTGATGCAAAAGTTGTTATTGAACGCGGTCCTTGGATTGATCGATCAGTGGAACAAATTTGGGCATTAATGGGTAAGAATTTATTTATAAAGTAAATAATTGTCCCATTTAAAAAAAAGAAATTGAGGCAAAATTTGTTTCTCTGGGCACCAACAATCATGTCGACTAAAATACGGAATAAATACAGTTTAAAATTTGCGATTTTTTTGTAATGATTCATAACATACTGAACAATCAGGGGTGTCCTGAGCAAAGACGTAGATAATGGTGGGGGAAGGAGGAAGCGAGAGCACCCCTCGAATGCTGAAACATTTTTGTTTTTTTTTTGTCGCCGATGGCAAAAGAATGTCTGATTTGACCTAAAATTTTTACTTACTCTTCCTTAAGTTTCGGCTACCATCAGTCGTCTCCTGTGTTCTCGGCCCAGGCTACCAAAACAAACGGGTGTTCGGCTCAAAAATGTTTTTACCAGCTTCCAAAGTTCAGACCCTACCTGTCCCTTTGGTCCTGAGGTACCCAAGATTTGGGAGAGCTAACATTGTTTTCGTATCAGACATAATATTAGTCTTTTTCAGCTAGTCATAAAAGCAGTTATTTTTCGCGAAGCGAAAATATTTTGCAATTCTTCTAAAAGTATCCGATTTTCTCTTGCAAGTTTTCGAAAAAGAATGCCAGCATGCCTAATTAAAGAAAATTTCTGTATATTTTTGCTGCCGAAGGTGACCACGCTTGTTATAAATGATGCTCTTTCTAAGGAAAAAGTGATGAAAGGTGGAATGTTTCTAGGTTAGCTGCGCTTATACCGCTGATTTTTTTGCTAAGGGAAAACGTTTTTCGAACTCATTAGACACTCTTTTATTCCTAATTTTTTGAAAGAAAAAAGCGTTGAAATGACTCTTAACCATCTAGCTCCCGAAGAAGGCTACACTAGTGGCGACTGCTCCAAAATGATGCTCATATTTAGAAGATAGAAAACAGTAAAGTAAAATTGCGATGAAAACAGAAAATGAAAGAGTTTTCCAAGTCGATTAATTTTATATGGTTGTTCTTTTTCTTTACAAAGCGAACAATTTTCACATTTCTTCACAGTTTTCTCGAAAAAACCATCGTTTGAACCTGGACTCTCGGTAAAAAGAAAACAACTGATTTCTTCGACTTGCCACGAAACTTCATATATTCCACTGACATCCTAGCCAGAATTTTTGATTATTGGGGGTCAGCCAAGCTCTTCCTTCCTCGCGATTCTCACTAAGGATACCGCTGCAAACAATCGATAAGCTACGTTCAAACTCATTTCAAATGTCTTTCTACTTCAATATTCTTCTCTCTGCTACTAGTTACAACTAGACAGTAAATCAAGTTCATTTTTTTACTCTTGATGACGACACACGCGATCAAATATTACCGATACTATTGAAAATAACGATGTTAAAGACAAAAGCTTTCACTAAATGACTCGTTACAGAATACACTAGTCACATCGTCACCGATACTGACACACGATACTCTCGATCGAGAGCACTATATGTTTTGTTAATGTGTTTTTTTTCCTTTTAGGTGTTAATGAATCGAATCGACTTATTCATTATAAACATGGCACAAAATTAGGTGCTCATCTTCTTATAAATCCTTGTCGAACACCAGCTACCCATCCAATTCTTTGGCATGATGCTCGTCGTTTATATTGGTCTCTTGCTAATTTACCACGATCTGATCCATTATTATCAAGAAATAAACTCATTTATGTTCGACGTACAAGAATAAATGCTAAAATCTCAGGTCGCCATATTTTAAATGAAAAATTATTAATAAATATAGTTCGTGAATATGCATTAAAACATTCATTAGAATTTATTCAATATGATCATTTAAAAGAGAATCGTATTGAAAAAGAAATTGAACTATTTTATCAAGCACGTATTATCATAGGTGTCCATGGTGGTGCACTATCAAATATAAATTATGCTCAATCACAAACAACAATTATTGAAATAATGCCTTATCGTGCTGAACAAAATACGGCACCAGTTGTTTGTATTTTTTCAAAGCCAGATGAAGTAAAACCATGTGTTGGTTATATTTATTATGTACAAGCTCAATTACTCAATCACACCTATTGGATTTTACCCACTGAAGTTGATGATGAAAAAAATCTTCATGTTAATTTAACTCGTGTTAAACGATTATTTGATTCATTGGTTTAAGTTAGAATCAAGCTTTATTTTTGTGTTTAATTAATATATATCAAGAAATTATTCATGCATAGATCATTACTGATG